CTTTAGCAAAGGCTTTGGGAGTATATGAAGAAGTGCTTTGTGCGAATGTCTCTGGAGGATTTCTGCTCCATCCCCATACACGTTAACAGACTTTTCCAGTAGCTGTACTGGCCGCGATTGCCAGGGCAAATTAATCATTAATCATTAAACATGCTTGCTTTTAAACCATGTGTAATATTTACAAAGGTACACTCACCAGAGGTCCCCTGTGTGCCCTCAGGGTCTGGGAGCACGCCTTGGGTGAGTTCGGGGGTTACTGGCTCCAGGTCCAGGGTGATAAACATATCCTGGCTGTTGGGGAAACCGGTTTCTCCGCTTCCTTGCTGCTGTGAGCTATCCACATTATCTTCATCCTCCTCTTCCTCGTACCCCGAACCCTCTTCCCTGTGTGTTTCTCCAGTGAAGGAGTCAGAGCACACGGTTGGGGTAGTGGAGGCTGGACCCCCTAGCATGGCATGCAGCTCCGCGTAGAAGCGGCATGTTTGCGGCTGTGCCCCGGACCTTCCGTTTGCCTCTCTGGCTTTGTGGCAGGCTTGCCTTAGCTCCTTAATTTTCACGCGACACTGCTGTGCGTCCCTGTTATGGCCTCTGTCCTTCATGGCCTTGGAGACCTTTTCTAATATTTTGCCATTTCTTTTACTGCTACGGAGTTCAGCTAGCACTGATTCATCTCCCCATATGGTGAGCAGATCCTGTACCGCCCGTTCGGTCCATGATGGAGCTCTTTTGCGATCCTGGGACTCCATCACGGTTACCTGTGCTGATGAGCTCTGTGTGGTCACCTGTGCTCTCCACGCTGGGCAAACAGGAAATGAAATTCAAACGTTCGCGGGGCTTTTCCTGTCTACTGGTCAGTGCATCTGAGTTGAGAGTGCTGTCCAGAGCGGTCACAATGAAGCACTGTGGGATAGCTCCCGGAGGCCAATAACGTCGAATTCCGTCCACACTACCCCAATTCCGAACCGCTGAGGCCGATTTTATCGCTAATCCCCTCGTCGGAGGTGGAGTAAAGAAACCGGTTTAAAGGGCTCCTTAAGTTGAAAGAAAGGGCTTCGTTGTGTGAACGTGTCCAGGCTTAATTCGATTTAACGCTGCTAAAGTCGACCTAAACTCGTAGTGTAGACCAGGCCCTTAGGAAAAGTTGAACCCAAATCCTTGAAAGAATATGCAGAGATCATTTCTAACTTACATAAACAGTTTGATGTGCGGTTTAAAGATTTCAAGGCACTTGAACCACGTTTTCAACTTTTTTCTACACCAGTTGCTGATGAAATTGACTATGTTGCAGAAGAAATGCAGATGGAGTTAGTGGAGCTTCAGTATGACACCATTTTGAAGCAGAAGTATACAGATGTTGGAATTCCAGAATTCTACAGGTTTCTTTCACAAGAAAGATTTCCCATGTTATTCTCTGCTTCCGCAAGGATAATGGCAATGTTTGGAAGTACATATATATGTGAACAGTTTTTCTCTTCCATGAAGATTAACAAATCTGTGTTAAGGTTAAGGCTCACTGGTGAACATTTGAAAGTAACACAGATTGGTTTCGTCTCAGGATATCAAACCTAATATTGATGCTCTGGTTGATGCAAAACACTGCCAGCTAAGTGGCCAAAAATGAAATGACTGTCAAAATTAGCACTGACTTTTCATATTACAGTTAAAGAAGTTAATAAACAAGTTAATAAATTGACTTTTAATAGCATAGTATATTTTAATACTATACTACTATATTACTCTTCATTTATTTTCTGCCTACCTCCAGGCGCTTCCCCACCGCCAAGCCGCCAAACAGCTGTTGGTGGCGCTTAGCACTTTCCAGGAGGGAGTGGGGAGGAGCGGGGAGCCGCGCGTTCAGGGGAGGAGGTGGAGAAGAAACGGGGTAGGGGAGGGGCCTCATGAAAGGAGTGGAGTGGGGGCAGGACTGGGGGCAGAGAGGGGGGAGTGTCAGTGATGCGGCCCTCGGGTCAATGCACTAGTCCTCATGTGGCCCTCGTGGTCATTTGAGTTTGAGACCCCTGCCTTAGAGAATGTGTATATAAAACCATTTTATTTTTATTAGTTTAACATCCTAATGCAAATATATTTAAAATGAAAGGTGCAAGTAGAGAATTTGCCACCCACCTAATAGTCTAAAGAACACTTACTCAAAAAATAAATAAATAAAGCATTTTTTTTAAAAAACCACTTACCAGATATGCCAGTCTATGTTTAGAGCCATAAACATGCATGAACATATTACTCAATCCCGTTTGACAGTGGCACAGCTGACACTCGTAGAGAACAAGGAGATTCTCTTTTGATCGGTATTCAATTATATATTCAAGTCCTGTATAGAAGAAAGGGATATTTTACAATTTAGTGTTTACTAAAATAATCTGCACTACATATTATTACCCAGTACACAGATAATCAACAGTTCATACCAGAAAAAGAAACTAAAGCAAGCGTTAGTGACTTATTAGGTACTAAACAAATTGGCCAAGATTTTAATAACTAGCTATTTTGAGTACCTCGATTTTTGGGTGCTAAGCTTAAGACATCTTCCTAACTACCCACCTGTGAAAAAGTGCTCTCTTTAAGTTCCCTCAAGTTGGGCATCAAAAATTGAGGTATTCAAAAGACACTAGTCACTTTTGGAAAATGTAGGACAATCCTTTGCTTACCGTCTCTTTCTATGTTCCTTAGAAATAGACTGTCTCCTCTCCAACAAAGAGAAACTGACATATTTGTATAAAAATGCATTTTTATATTCAAATGCATCAAATATTATAAATGATATTATAATAAGAGTAATCACCGAATCGTTTAGTCAAGAGTAGCTTCTAGTATAAATACCCTTACATTATTTGTAACCCACACTCTCAACAGATACATGTTCAACCTAATCAAGAATAAATATGCAATGAGAATTCCAAGAACTCTCGTCAGTAAGATCCACTTACACACTGTACCAGCAGAACACCTAATGTAAATTGTATAAGGTTTACCTAATTTCATACTTATGAAGGTATAAATTTGTAGGACCAGGATTTTATAATTGTATTTGATTTTATCCTGTCAGTCCCCTTTTTGAATAGCAGAAAGAAATGACAGACCAGAACAATCCTTATGACTGATTATGGTCACCCTTTTGTTTTAGATTAAGTTATAATGTCTACTATGGTTTCCTATATGTATTGCAAATTAGGCACGCTAGTTAAATATACATTTCTTTGTTTTAAGGTTTTAGTAAGTAAGAGACAGGATCTTGTATTGTATCTATGTTAAGGAGATTAGAGGAATGTTGAGGGCCTGAAGCCCCAATGTGAATTGTTTTAGTTATAAGATTTAGCAAGGCTTGATTTACAATGTATACTGCTGTCTGTATACCTTTGAAGGTATACAGAGATATACCTGTTTGTGTGTGAATGAGGAATGCATACATCAGGAAAAGATAAGGTGTGAAAGCCATCACAAATGTCCAGATTGTCAAGAAAAAGTGAGAGACTTGGAAAGACCAGGAGACAATCAGAAAACATCCATTGTATCCGACGCTAAACACGTTAGCAGCATTGACAACCTCAGAGGTGAGGCAGGCACCCCCGAAGGCGAGACAACAAATAGGAGATAACGATGGGAAGCCCGACAATAACCATCAAATGATAACAGCAGAAAACCCCAAGATTAACACCATTTAAGGTCTAATGATTACAGGATGACATTGCAAAATGCATGGACTCAAATGGGAATTTACAACTATAAAGCTGGGGTATTTTACCATGGAACTCTGGGTTTAGTCCTGCAAAGCCTCGGCGCATCGGATCATGACCGATAAGAGCCCAGCTCCTGCTCAATTTAACTGGCCATTAGATTGACTGATAAGTATAAACATCAAGTGGCAGAGGAGGGAGGGAGGGAGAGAGAGTGTGTGTGTGTATGTGACTAAAAAGCATATGCTAACTGTTGTATTTTCAATAAATGCAGTGTTTTTGCCTTCTTCTCTATAAAGATCCCATGTGCTTTGTATAGTATAACAAATTCACTCAATCCCTCTGGAAATGTAAAAACAACAAGGAGTCTGGTGGCACCTTAAAGACTAAGGTGCCACCAGACTCCTTGTTGTTTTTGTAGATAGAGACTAACACGGCTACCCCCTGATACTTGACACCATCTGGAAATGTAAAATTGCTGGCATTTAATTACAGCATTTAAAAAAATGCTCACCAAGTGCAGGTTCTGAATCTTTACATGTATTAAGCTGTTCTTCCAAGGTTTGTCCTTGAAACTTCTCTGGCTCAGTTTGAACTATAAAATAAAAGCACTTTATTAAAATGTGGTTAGTTGCCTATACCAAAGCAATAATAACCACGCATTGGGTACAGTTAGATACTCTCTAGAGCAGTGAGAAATCTAGGAGAAGGAAGTGGTGTCCCCCACTCCAGTCACGGACTTAAGTTTGCCAACAAATCCAAACCAATCCCTGCTCTGCAATGCCCTTCAGGAGGCACAGCAACGAGCCATTTGATGTGGTGAAGCATTATCCCTGAAGTCCCACCCACTCACACTGTCTTCTCTTGCAAGGAAGATGTTGTAGAGGTATTAAAAGGGGAAAACACAATATAAAGCAAATTCCCCAATGACCTGCTAACTTCTAGCATCACTGGCTCTTGGAGGACATTCAATCATGGCACAGCTGTGTGTTTGTGCACTATATTGAATAAGGAAATTAACTTACCATAATCAGGAAGTTTTATAGGTGCTTTCGCTTGGTCCCCTATTCCACCCACAGTTTTAACTAAAAAGATAAAAATAAATAAAAAAAGAGTAAAAATTTATGAACAAAGACTGGAATGAGACCTTGAGAAGAACCCAGTCAGAAAGACAGGACATGCACCATGTTTAAAGGAAACAACGAGAGCTTCTTGTTGATGTGTAAAGGAACAAATTCTATTACTTTAATCTTTGTGTACCAAGAGTTAAATTTTGCTAGTAATAGTTGAAGCAAAAACATTTGCATCAAAGAATTACAATAAACCAACTTAGTGCTAGACAATTTAATAAAGAGGACAAGAAATTACAATAGCAACCAAGTTGCCAATTTTACAATTAATTAAACTCATACCAAAGTATTAAATTACAGCAGAACCCACTAATAGTGAAAATCTCCTATGGTACCCAGCCTGGAATCAGAGTCTGCTACATTAAGCTTTAAATCCAGCACTTCACACCTTCTTGGAAACATTACATGATACAGAGAGGGGATTTGGAAAGAGCTAGTTAATTTCATATAAAGAACTCTTCTATGGCATAAGGGAAGAGCACAGTGCTCCTGGTGATCCTTGCATTCACAAGGGACTGCTTATCTACACAGGGGAATTGATGAGAACCGCTAATGTAGACAAGCCCTGAAAAACCAGGCAAGATTGCAGGACAAAGAGGAAACCCAGTTGGCTTCACCCACTCTGCAAGAAGAAGTAAAGAAAGTATATCAGATCCCTCCTTCACTGTAATCAAACATTGCAGAAGTTATTTCTATTCAAAATTTAATATTTAGAAAGACTTTACTTTTCCATTCATGAAAGAGCACCAAACAGGCCTTGTGATGCTTGCATCTGAATTTGAATTCTGGTCTAACACGGAATAAATGGGATAAAAGTAAGAAAAAAGAATATCAATGTATTTAAAAAAAAAAGGGGGGGGGGGGAGACTGTCCAGCGGTGAGGTGTCTATTGTGCTGTGGAACTTTCTCCAAACAATACAAGAAAAGCCCAATATCTTGGAACATAAAAAATTTAATTGGACATTTAAATTTAGACTGGAAAATACACTGTATCGAACTGTACAACTTTAGGGCCAAGGGTGTGTAAAATGACTTACTGTAAGTCTTTTCCACCTCTGAACTTTATGAAATACAACCATGCTATTTTTCTGTTAAAATAATTAGCAGTGGAATAATTGAAGTTGACAATTAAATAGCTATCATTTGGTTTAAAAGTTAACCCTCCACAAGTAACGAATTCAAACCTCTTCTAGCTATTTCTCTAGTGCAGACCAGGTCTCAGAGTCCTCTTATGATTAATCCCAAAATGTTACTAGTTACAATCCTAGTGCCCAATCCTGTACATCTCTTACTAGCACAATTAGTTACACTGTCTTCTGCAGGATTGGACCTAAAATTAAAATTCTTAAAAAAGGTCACTTACAGTTTTGTACGGATGTTTATAAAAAACATTTAACCAAAGCAAAACGTTAAACTTTAGTACTTACCAATGCCATGGGCTTTTAGAGCTTCTTCAACCTAAATTAATGAGAGAAAAACCGATTTAATGTTTTCTTAGAAACTTTACATTGTCAAAGAGATGGACAGTCACTATTTATATAATAAACTAATTAGATTAAGGGTTACACAAAAGATGATTATTCAAAATGTACAAGGCAATTTTTCTCCGATGGATGGATATCAGGGTGAATAAAATTTTTTTCAAAATCATAAACATTGTATTTTTTTAAATTAAATACAGGTTTAAAAAATAAACCTATTTAAAATTGACAACCTATGTTAATGCCTAGACTTAAATCTATTACAATCACTGAAATTAAATACAAAAATAATATTAAGCAATACGTATTTGCTACCAAGTTCTAAAGAAATCCAGAGCACCGAACTACTGGAAGTCACTAGCTGAGCAGTGTGAACCAGAGTCTGTTGCAATGCTACGACAGCTTTTAAGAGCAGGAGCCTCTTCTGCAGTTAGAGAATATTTTCTTCGTTTCTGTTTATTCAATTAGTTCAGTCAAATGACTAGTTCATTCAAAGTTAAGAAACCATTTGGGAATTGAAAAAGAAGGGGAGCTTTTCCACTCCCAATCTATAAATAAAAACTAGGTGTGAGAGGATGAGATGTACAAGTTCCAAAATTCTGAACGAGACACATACCAGAAATGATCAGTTCAAATCACTAAGTACAGATAATACCTCTTTTGTTTACTAAAACAATTAGTTTAAAATGCAAAACATGTTTTGATAAACTTTTTAATCATTTTTCTTATGTATCCAGCACATTTAAGATAATTAAATTTTTTAAAATGCTGGTTTTGTGCCTTTTTAATTAAACTTGCACTTCAACCCAAATAGAGCTTGACACCAATTACAAGTATAAATTAATCATCTAGTAAATCAAAAATGCATAATTCACCATTTTTGAACATAATAAAAATGTAAAAATTAAAGACTCTATATACATATTTTTAAACAATTATATTTATTTAGATAGTGTATCCTCTTGGTTAGCAAAGAGAAGCACTAAGTTTAGGGTAAAGGCTGTATTTAGTTGCAAATCAACATTTCAGTGGTTAGCAATTAATTAGAATCAAGTTGTTTTAGGAAAATAGCTAAAAAGTACAAATGCAAAACACAATTAAAATTGATTTTTAAATCAATGGTTCCTGCTTGCTGATTTAAATCATTAGTAAAAGTCAATTATTTACATTGTTCTGATTTAAATCAATCCACTGTTTCCTATTATATTAGACTCATTATTTAGATTAGATTCTTAGATGCCAAAGCTCCCATGCTTTGTATAGGGAGTGTTAAGCACCTAACTTGAGGCTGTGAATTCCACTGGTTGGGTACCTAGGAGAGTTGCAGTGTTTAAATCCCCCGTTGCTCTTACTAATCCAGACAGCAATACACAGCTAGATCAACATGAACCTTTTTAAACATCACTGTTATACAGAAAAGTTCTGCTTTACTGTACATGACAGAAATAGTAAAGCAAGAAAATTCTAAACAAAAAGTTAGATGCTTTGCTAATTTTACACATTTTAGAACATTTAATACTTTAAAAAGAGAAAATAGTGATTACAATCCTACACATCATCACTGTTTAATGTAACTATCTACAAAATCTGACACACACACACACACACACTAATCTTACCGTCTTGTGTTTGAATCCAAGGAAATGAGTCTGCAAGTTTAATGCAGAAGCACACGAGATTTTGCAAATCTAGGTTAAAAAGAAGATTCATAATTATTTCTACAGTATTATGCAAGCAAACAGAAAAAATACTATAATTCTGAAAAATATCATTGATATTTCAAACTAATCAAAATCTCCCTATTTAATAAACTCCAGTTATACACCCTGAGGTTGTACAGATTGATTTCTGCTGAAACACAAGTCCTCTAAAGCCAGACTGAACAGCAGCCAACACTCTATTCACTGGGTTCCAAAGAGGATGATCAAAGTACTGTCTGTCATTTAAAAGTCCCTCTCCATAGCATAAAATGGTTTCAGGTTCGCCCAAACCCTTCAAATACATTCAACTGCATTGTACCAGAGGGGAGGCCATCTCTCTCAATCTCATTAAAAGAGGTATGGAAAGGTGATCTTCAAAAAGATTTTTGGATATAAAACCCAAGCTCTAAGGAAATTTGAAAACTTTGACAAGGAAGTGTTGTCTCTCTTGTCTCCTGTTGTGCAAGAAGTGTGATTCACATCAACACTTCATTGAAGGGACTACAAAACTGAAGAGAAAGCAATAGATATAAAATGAAATGGGCTGAAAGAAATGTTTTCCTCCATACACCCCTTGAAAGGTACCCAGGGTGAGTGAGTCCTTTAAGCAAATGTAGACCTCCTAAGGTTTGTATACTCATATTGGGCAGGGAATGAGCAGGGTACTTAAAAGCTGAGGTCACCGTCTGCTTAAGGCATTCACTATACATACATTTCATGCTCTATCAGTGCCTTTCTCATCCCTTCCATGTGCCCTAGCACCCTGTACCTCCAACCTCACACTGCCAGACTTTCCATATCCCCTATGACTCCCTGTACTCCCAGTGCCTGCATCCTCCCTCATACCCCACAAGTCTCCATAGGCTCCCCTCAGTCCCCAATGAGCTTGCATACACTTGTTAGAGACTAGCAAGCCTAATGAGTTTTGACAGAACCACATTTACAGGAAGGGAGAAACGCTTCACACCCCCTGCATCCCAACCACTCCCTCTATGCCTCCCCAAACAACCTGGTTCCACCCAAGTTCCCTCAGCAACTCAGCTCCTCTTTGTGCCCGCAAACAGCCAGCTCCCCCCCCCCCCCCGCATCCAACATCCATGCTCTCCTCAGTAACAACAATTAAACACACCAGTTCTCTCCCTTACACCCAACAAACTTTAGTAGACGCATCAGACTCTGACAAATTTATGTAGGCTCATTTGTGGAAAGATGAGCCAAATGAGATTAATCAGAGGTGGTGTACATGTGTGAATAAAGGTATCCAGGAGCCTCCACTCCTCCCTCACAACTCCCCTAAACATCCCAGTTCCTCCCAACATACACACAAACCTCAGTAAGGTAGTCAGGTTCAAAAGCCAAGGTACATTTGTCAGGCACCAATGAGCCTACTAAATGAGGTTCCTCAGGAGAGATACATAGAGCATAGATGTTTCCCTCCAACATATCTGTTTCCCCATACTCCCTGACTTAACCCTGCTTCCCTTCTAAGCAAAATAGCCCCCACTATGCAAAGGCCTCATCTGTGTTCAAATTTGAAGAGATTAAATTTAAAGAAACAAGATCTCCACTTAGCAGGGGCTTTGCTTCTGGGGGAGTGTAGAGTGCATATTCTCTGCACAACTACCTCCTGTTTTACCCATGTCCCTTCCTAACCAAGGAACTCTCCCCTCCAAACTCACACAACACCCAGCTCCCCCACTCCATGCCCAACATCCCAGCATTCCAATCTAAATACTCTGGGGGTGGGGTATGGTGACCATTTCCCCCCACTTCTCTGTATAGTCTTCTGGAGGATAGTTGGCTTGTTTGGCACATCACCCATCTTCTTTCTCCAGGGGCCTGCCAAGGAGGGTATGCTGTTCTGTGAAATCCTTCTGGGAGCGAGGACCTTCAAAGGAAGAGCCTTTTCCCCACCCAGCAAAGCCCGTACCTGCAGCCAGAGTGGGAAGCTGGGCTATGGTGCTGCCTTTTATACGTAGCACCAATGATCCTCTACCCCCCAGAGTTAGTACTTCCCTCTACTGGAGAGTCCTCACAATGCACAGATAAAAGAGTTTCTCTCTGATGCTCTGCCTAACACCCCCACCATCTGCCTAATGCCCTGAATACTTCTGCTGCCCTCACTAAATGTGCTTCATACTCACAATATCCTGCTGCCTCTCAACACTGATACTGACTTCTGTTTATTAAGTCTCCCTCTCTCTCTGTTCCTACTTCCCCTCACCTCCACTGCCCCCTACTTGCCTAATCCCTTTGCCCAAAAGCAGTCTCTTTTCCCTCCCACTCACTCACCTGGTGTCCATCACAGCCTCTGCCACACAAGCACTATTTTTCACACTCCGCCACAATTCCTTCACTACCTTCTGTCATCCAAAGCACTTCAGCTGCTTTATCATTCATTTCTGCTGCACCTCCCTTCTACCCCCATCCACAAATCCACCGGCCACCACACATTCTGCCTCATCCTCTTCCGCAAGTCCTGGGTCAGTTTTGTGTGCCCAGCTTCCATCTCCCCTTTTTCACTCCCACTCCACATGAACACAACAGATTCTTGCTGCCACCTTTCCTCATGTACCTTATGACTTCCATCCCTTCATGTCACACACCCCCAATCATTTCTCTCTTATATTCCCCATACATATCCAGTCCCAAATCCCCTCTATTGTGCCACAATAGCCCCAGGCTCCTCCTAGCCCCCCAAAATTCTATAGCCTCATCACCATCACGCCTTTCTGCTCTTTTTATAAATACGGGCTTTAAGAAGATTGCAGACTATCTTATAAAGAGCTTACAATCTAAAACAGACAGGACAGATAAAAGATGGAAGTGGAAATCAGGTGGCACTAGTTCAGTGACAGAACTGAGAATACTACTCAGGTCTCCTAACTCCCAGTCTACTGTCCTACGCAACACACCTTTCAAGAAACACTACAACGGGTATTATGGAATAACCTATTCATAAAGAAAATTCCTTTCTAACTTCCATCAGTTAGAGGCTGACATAGACCCTGATGCATGAGGGTTTATATCCATTTCAAACTATATTTTCTGGGGGGGAAGGGGAGGGCACTAAGCATTTAATACTGTTTTAAGGACTTTAAACAGTCTGCAGTATATGTAACCAGAATTCTTAAAAATGGAGAATGGTCTAGGACTAGGAAGTTTATGCACATAGATATACACTAGCTCTACATTTCCTGACATCTGTATGTTGGTGGCACGTTAATTACATCAGCACTTGGAGAACACTGCCAGAGGCACCTTCAAAATCCTAAAATGGACAGACACATGGATGGTCTTCTCTATCCTGACTGTCCAATTAAGAATTTGTACGATGCACTGTACCTCAAAGTAGTACCCTGTAACTCCCATATTCATCATTTGAATATGGTTGTGATATTTCATACAAAGCATGCCTTGCATGAAAGGTATATGCCGAAATTCATTGTTCTGTAAAATTATGTGTATAATCATTGTATATGAAATTATAATATTGTGCTATATGATTGACATTGAAATATGTTGTGTGTCTGGGAGTCGCCCAGAGCTAGCTCTCCAGAGGCAACAAAGGAGGTGACCCATACACAGCTGCGTGTTAAGCGACCATCACAAGCCATTGACCAGCAGGGGAATTGTAAACAAGAAATTTACAATTCTATACAAAACAGTTGCACAGGCACCACAAAATGGGGATTGACTATGACTATAACTCAGCAAGGCCCACCAGGACATGTCTGGGCCAGTATCTTCCCTGGGACATGAATTGAGAGTATAAAATAAGGGACAGTGGCATCATGAGACCACCTCTCTCTTTCCCCACCTATGCTGAAGACAACGAGAATGCTGGGAAGATAAAAACTTTGAACTGAGGAGACTGGTACCAGGCTCAGAAGGCAATTCAGCTGTGTATTAAGAACTGTAACCTGCATTCAACATGCAATAAGGTGAGAAAAGTTGTTTGATTCAAATCTTGCTCAGTCTGAAAATTTAGGATTTAGAATGCATGTTTACTTGTTATTTTCTTAGGTAACTACCACTTATAATCATTTAAAATTTATCTTCTTTCTGTATTTAAGAAACTTATTTTAATATTTTATCCTTACCAGTGAATTTGTCTAAAGTGCTTGGGGAATCTGCTCAGATTACAAAGACTGATGCATGTCCACCAACCTTCAACGAAGCAGGCTTTCTGGAAATCTAAGTACACTATGCCCACTGGATCCCCCTTGTCCACATGTTTGTTGACCCCTTCAAAGAATTCTAATAGATTAGTAAGACACGATTTCCCTTTACAGAAACCATGTTGACTATTGCTCAACAGTTTATGTTTTTCTATGTGTCAGACAATTTTATCTTAACTATTG